ATATATATACTTGATTTAACCAAGTAGAGCGTGTCACGTGCGCGCGCACAATCGATGTTTTTACCTAACGAGAAATGATAGAAAATATAAATAAATAAATAAATACATAAGGCTGCAAAGGCGCCATTACAATGTTATGGTTACTCGAATCGAGTCACCATCATTCTTTCGCGGCGAGCCGTTACCTTTTACGTCGTTTTATCAAGGCGATCGTCGCGACGTCCGGAGATATGCTCCCCGGAATGTTTTACGGTAATTTCGGCGAATGTTTCAGGAATTTCGGCGCGTTTCGAGTCTCTCCCTGGACGTCGCACGCGCTCGCGTTGAAGTAAATCGAGATTATATCCTGGACGAAGCTAAAAAGAGATGAAGCCGAGAACTGAAATCCCAGTTAACTTGAATTAAAAATATTTATAGAAATGGCCCTATATCACGGATCTTCATGGATACAGAATCGAACTCGTGAGAGTGACAAGACACTGGTTGCAATCGGATGCAACGTTCGAAAAGGCAAAGGGAAGAGGAGGCACAGATAGAGACGGAGAGAAAGAGACAGAAAGAGAAAAAAGAGAGAGAGAGAGAGAGAGAGATATGGAGAGATAGAGAAAGACGGAGCGAGAAAATGCAATCTCCCAGCATAAAAGCGCGATCTCATGCCGCTGTGACGCGCGATTCTCCGTCACTGATCGGTCGGTCAATCAGCTCGTCGAAGTGGAAATGAATCATACGCTTCCTGGAAACAACGGCAAGTCCGTGCAAGCTGTCGCAAGGATCGTCACCATCGCCGTTGCCGCGGTAATCCGCGTGGGAGGCTAAATAATGAGGTCTGCGATGAAGATAGATGAGAGCGGAGCGATGATACGTGGTCGAGACGAGGCGAGAAGACGCCGCGCGGGCGATTCGCGAGATTCTTCCGGGCGGCCGCCGTTGCGAGAAAGGAGGCGTATCTCGGAGCCGGGCAACAATGGCCGACCGGCGCGTCTGCTGCGGCCATAACCACAAAAAGGTTGTCGTCGGCTGCCGGGCCGGGTCGAACCTCGCCCGTCGCCATAGATAGATGCCGCGATTTCGATGTTCGCGTTTATAGAACGTTTTTTCTCTCGCCGGGGTGATTAATATCCACTTATTGTGGATTTGCAAAACGACGGTGGCGATGACGATGACGACGACGGCGGCGGCGGTGGCCGCTGCCGTCGTGTCCAGATATTTACCATTTTCCGTAGCGAGCGATGTAGCCGGTGGGCAGAGTCACGAGCACTTTAACCGACACTTTCCCGGTGTATCTCGGCCGTGATGGAACTGGATAGCGGCGTAGTGTCCAGTCGAAGAGATCGCGCGGCTGGCTCACACGGGCGAACGGGAAGGGAGGCTCCTCTCTCACGACCAGCCGGCTATCTCTCTCTCTCTCTCTCTCTTTCTCTTTCTCTCTCCGCGAATCCTGTATCCCTACGCCTGCGCGCGCAGCGCCGCCACGGCCCGCCATTCTGATTGGCCCGCAACGGAATGCCCGCGCCCCGTCAAGCGTCGTCAAAAATTCGTGGCGCGATTGCGCGCCACCGCACGTTACAATAGGCGCGCGAGATAGAAAAATCACGCGAATTGGAAATCTATCGGATATTCGGAACGAAGTATGCTAGTCGATACTGTAAAAGAATGAATGGATAATTAATGCGTCGCGCCCGATGATTCGTGAATCGGATAATTAATGCGTAATTGCCGGCATTCACGTGAAACGAAGCGGCGGATAAAACGAGAATGCGCGACAAATACGAATTGAAATCAGCGGCGGGGGTAGTAAACGCGGTAACGGCGCGAATAATTTCCCGATAGGACGACCAAGGCCGATTCGACGTGTACATGCACGATTTACGTAAGATCGATTCGCGGACACGCGACTTTCGGGAGGAATCAGTCATCGACGCGGGACGTGCCGGTCACGCGGTCCAATCGCCGCCAGGGACGTGGGGAAATTGCCTTATATGGGCAGCCGTGTGCGAACGATCTGTCCGGCGCACACGCGTCGCGACTGCGCGCCGAGTCCTCGCGATGCGCATTGAAACGCGACTGCGAAATGTCGCGATTGGTAAAACAGAGCCAAGAACGTATCGAGACTTTCAGTTTCGGCGCCTATGCGCATGAAGAAATTTCAATCTACATTTATACGGGGTAGTAACGGTCGTAGTAGAAAATTGACCAATCATAGTCGATCATTCTTCTTATATTCAACAGTAATTGATTAATTTTCTACAAGAGCTTGCGCTACTATGACTCTCATTGTAGACCTCGCGTTAGGGATTTCGAAAATATTTGTCGATATTTATTCATCAGATTACAATTACCTTAGTTAATTATTAATTTGAAGTAATATCAAGTAACGTTAATCAGCTGTTAGTGTACTATTGACATAGATATAATTATTAATTTTTTTATTGTTATATAACATTTAATAAAAACGACTGACAGTTATGTTTAACATATGGAAAAAAGAGATGAGATTAATTAAAAATATTACTTTAAGTGATTTTATCGACTGAATTTTAATCGATAAATTAAATTAGTTAAAATTTATTGTTAGTCGAAGCCGCTATTAGATTTTCTGTTAGGATAGATTTCGTGGAAGTATAATGAAAAGCAAAGATGATGCTCGATACAGAAATTATATGCGAAACATACCGTAACAAAATACAGAATTTGTTGATAAACATGATAATGCGCTTAGTCGATCTAAAAAATATATATGAGATCGTCTAGTAGAATAAATATAAAACATCCTAATAGAATAAACAACCATCCACGCACGCACACACATACATGTATATATTTTGTTAAATACTGTTAGCAGTTACATAATTTACAATATTATTAATTTTGTACATAAGAAAGTGGCATCATTACACATTTATTATAAAAAGATCAATATATCTTGAGCAGTCAATATATACTTTAATTTGCAATAAATTATATAATTGCTGGTAATAAAAACTATTGTATGTGAAAAATATGTATTAATAAAGAAAACACATAGTGCAATGATAAAAAGACATTAGTACATATAAACATAAAGTATCTTATATGCATGTGTGATGTTGTGTATCTCGAACATTAATAGCAAATTATATATATGTATATAAGTAAATAAAAATTATATACAAATAATATATATAATATATATTATTACATATAAATGTATATATAATTTGCTATAATATAATATATACTAGTTTATAATCTTATCCACTTCTTATCGCTTCTTCTGAGTATTATAAGTATAAATATTGCATCTATTTTATGCCATTACTTGGCACGATAATCCTTATATGGCGATCATGATGTAGAGAATTACGTGGCTGCTCACTGTACCAAAAGATCCAGATTTAAATTCATGCCCAGAATACATATACCTCAGATTTTGTTTAATCATCACCTCTCGGAAGGCAATGGCAAATCACTGAAAGTATTAATTTGCCATAACAATCTTCTAATAGGCCGTTTGAAACCCAGCGTTAAAAAACTGTAGCTTTCATATATTAATGGATATATATAGTAAGTTATGTAGAAGAGGTAATCTTATCTCTAATAAGAATACTTTTCGTTTTCACGCTATGAGCGTCATCAGTTTATCCGTGTCTACTAAATATTGAACAAGGACAAATGATGCTTACGAGTGCTGCAAGCGTAAAACGGAACGCATCCTTAAAAACGATGGAGACGATAAATATCGAAAAAAAATTCATCATTTTCTTGAATGCAAATTTAATTATTTCATTATTACATTAACAATAACAGCGAAAACGTATTTCTGTGTAACAGAATTGACAACTTGACTTTTCAGCTAAAACTGAAAGACAAGAGTGTCCATTAAGTCGAAGAAAGATAATACTCTTTCATCTTTTAGTTTTAATTGGAAAACTAAATTGTCAATTCAAGGCTGTGTTCCAAAATTGACTAATAAAAATCTATAGTGCACGTAACGTAAACTGTAGCATTTTACTGCTAGCAGTAAATTTGAAACACGGCTCTAGTATGCACAGAATACGTTTTTTGTTATTGTTGTTAATGCAAACAATAGTGAAATTAATATATTCAAGAATATGATACTTTTACAAACAATATTGTTCAGATTTCTCTCTCTTTCTCTCTCTCTCTCTCTCTCTCTCTCTCTCTCTCTCTCTCTCTCTCAAATCCATCGTCTCTTATCAGTGGCGACCTGGTGATCTCTTTTGTATATATAATTTCTGGATTACGGGACCTACAATTTTTTCAAATATATATTACATAAAAATAAGAATCGCTTTCTACAGTTTTACAGTATTTAGCAATAGGGCTATACACAGTTATAATTTCTTGACAATATTTCCTAGATCAGGAAAATAATAATTTATTACATGGTTAGAAGAAAGATTCTGAAGTTTCTTGTGCTTAAATATGCCTCCCCCCCTTCTCCTCTTCCCCCGCCCCTAAATACATGTATGTACAATTTCGATAAAAGAAATGCAGAGACAATGAAGACGCCTTATTATAATTTATAATATAATGTAATACGATGCAAACATTCATTTTGTACATATTTTCTACATGTCATATATTATAAATACAATTATAAAATCGTAATACATTTCGTACGTTTGACACAATCTTTTTCAGCAATATTAAAATAATAAAAAAGTAAGTAAGCGATGAGGCAGTACATTAACTTATTTTTAAATAAATTTAGTTTCTTTTTCAATAAGAGAATCGGTATTGCTAAAAAAAAATTTTTTTTATCATTGCATTAATATTGTAGGATCTCAAATGATAAAAATTATAATTCAAAAACATTGAAATATTTATATACAGTTTTGCTTTTCCTCAATAGAAAATATTGAAGATATATGAATAAATTGAGAAAGATGTCAAAATGATAATATACTGTACATAAATGAATAATACAAACAGTGTAACGTACACTACGTACAGGATACGTGAATTAAAAGATATAAGTTTATTTAATTGATATTGATATACTATTGTAGTAGTTATGTTAATTATATATATATCTTCCATTTTCTGATAAAATGGCCTTTTAACAAGATTTTTATTCTATTGCATACAACGTAAAATCTTATATCATTTACTGTAATCAAAATTGATTTTTATATAAACGATTTGTAAGAAATTTAGTTATTTGGCAAATAACTTGATCAGTATAAATATATCTTCCTTTTTTTTCTATTTTTCATTTAAGTATTATATGATATCCCAAGTAGCAAAGCAGCACTTATAAAGCGCTAAAAAGTGATTATATGCACTTTTTTTTACCGCTTTATAAGAATTGTATGTTACTTGAGATATGGTTGTCTCCCATGTGCATTGGAAGATGTGTAATAAAACGTAAAATTATATTTTTCGCAGCATCTAAGTAATATATCTCAGTAATCTTATTCCTTAAGTACTGTCATTATCAATCAAACATTGTTCTATATACGCAATTATTGTATGTGTACAAAATTATATTTTCCGTCCAGCAATGACAATGTCGCTATTTGGAATACATAATAGGAACCGATTCGTTGAAATCTTTTTGAAGAATTAAAATCTTAATTAAAATCTCTTTAATACATTGAGTATGATGATGAATGATGAATGGTAGTGATTATCGATTCTTTTTATAGATCTTAATGGCGAATAAAGAGTGCGTAATGAAATTTTGGTTAAATTATATACACACAGTGTGATCTCCAATATAATTCCTACATAAATATGTATGCGTCACATATCCATATGTAGATATAATCATTAATATGACATTATGTTATGAAATTCTAAAAAATTTTATAACAAAATTTCCATTAGATATTATATAGTTCGTATCATTAATATTCCTTTATTTATTATGTAACTGTAATATTACATAACTGTAATACAGTATTTATCCTTCGTGTATAGGGAACCACTACTACTCAACGTATTAAACAGATAAATTCTTCATTAGTAGTAACATTGCAAGTATAATCATAAATAATCTAATCTCTCAGTCAATCATTATAAGAACGCATTCTCCTTCTTGTTATTAAACAGAGCATTCGATAAATGAGGTGATATCTTTAATTACAAGATAACCTCGACAACTTAGCCTTATCGTATTTTTAGAATGTTTAAGACATATGAACTGTTAGATAAGACCGCGTTTCTTTTTGTAATCTTCTAGATTTAACGATCGGCGAGGTCCTGTATCCTTGATATTATTAATGGGCTTCGGTAAAACGCTAACAGGATTGTCTAGAAATAAAATTGTATAAATTATATAAATATTTGTACTCTATGTATATCTCGTTTTGTTTTAATTGCTGGGCAAAAATTTATAATTAAAAATATAATTTCTTACAATACTTTTTGCAAAACTTACTTGGAATAGGAACTTCCAAATCGATTGTTATATCAAAGTCATGTGCGTCAAATAGATCTTCTGTACTTTGCTTCTTCTTAGATTCCTGTCCATTCTCTTTATCAACTGCCGACACTGAATCTCCAGTAGGTTGAGGATTCGATTTATCATTTACTGGAATTGCTACCACTTCAGACTCATCTTCCGGCTTATACACCATCCTTGGCTTAGTACTTCGCCTAGTGAATGGGTCATCGACTTTCTTACCCTTATTAGCTTTCAGTTCTTCCTGTTATAACAAATTCGAAGTTGGAATTGAAATATCATTAATCAATTGAAATGTTATAATACAAATTATACCCTAAACATTACCATTATAGCTTTTTCAGCTTCCTCTACATTTTTCTTTCGGTTGCGATCATTTATGTATGATATACTAGAAATTGTTGCCGTACGCATTTTATCCAGTTCTGATGCACGCTCTTCTAATTCACTCAATTCTTGATTAAGTCGACTAGCTGTCTCGTCATCTCCTCTACAATTAGCCGCATCACGTTCTCTCATCAGTTGTGCTTTCTTCATTGCGTAATTGTAAGGAGTCTGTTTGAATCTCTCCTTTTCACGTACTATTTTTTCTATATCCTCTTCTTTGAATTCGTATACTAGCGCTTCCTTAATGTCCTT